CAGCAAGGTCTGAAGTGTGGCTTCCGTTGAAGGTACTTCTTCCATTTCATGGTAAGGGTTTGTTGTTGTTGTTGTTTTAGAGGTTGCCTACTGTCCGCAGCAATTTCGGCTAACCTGACCCTCTTTGGAACTCGTGTTTAAGTTTGGCGTATATATCTATTGGGAAATTATAATATTGATAAGATTTTCTTTTTGTATTGAATAAGATTTACTGCAAAGTTATTTTTATTATCAAAGATAAAAGTCTCTTGTGAGTTTTCAAATGGTTTAATTTGCCATACTGACTTCAGAAAATGCGCGATTTCATAAAAAAAACATGAACATGCCAAAATGTCAATTTAAAAATCAATAGCGTGTGTGTCCTCCTCTGGTTGCGATGCAAGCAACACATCTTCGTCTCAAGGAATGGACCAGGCGTCGAACAAAGTCCTGTGGGATATCTGTCCGTATCTGCTGGAGCATGTTTCGACGTTCCTGGAGTGTCTGGAACACGTGGTTGACGTCGAAGGCGCGGTTCCATCTTATCCCACATGTGCTCGATTGGTGAGAGATCAGGGGAGCAAACCGGCCAGGGGGTGAAATTCAAGTTGTTTTGTTGAAGAGAATCCTGAACAAGTCGAGCAATATCAGACCGGGCGTTGTCATGTTGAAAGGTAATGCCTGGGTGATGACGACGCGAAAAACGGTAGAACAACAGGGCCGATTTTCTCATCGCGGTAGCGCTGTCCATTGAGTTTTCCCTCTACCACTATCGAACGGCTCCTCTGTCTTGCTGTAACCCCACCCCATACCATAACGCTGCCGCCCCCGAACCCATCTTCTTCCATGACACAATGATTGACGTAACGTTCACCCGAATCCGTCCATCGCTGTTGCAGAGGTGAAAGCGAGACTCGTCAGTGAATAGAACTTGTCCCCACTACACGGCCGTCCAGCGTAGACGCTGTCTGCACCACTGTAGACGTGCTTGCCGGTGGTTTTCTGTCAAAATGGGACGTCTGGCGGGTCTTCAATCCATGCACATCTTTGGCGACGACGTACGATTTGTGAAGATATTCGTCGAAGGCCAGTCACTGTTGTTGGTTTGAATCGATTTCGTAGGTGTGTTGTTCGAATCCAGTTGTCTTGTCGATTATTGGTTACGTGTGGCCTGCGAATCCGAGGATGGTCTCTGACTGCATTCGTCAGTTGGCAACGTTGTCATTAACACATAATTGTGTTTCTGAGGACGTTAAATTTTCGTGCAACATCACGTTGACTCGATCCTGATTCAAGCATACCAATGGCTCGCAGACGCTCATTTTCGGACAGGAGTGGCATTTCGTAATGTTGAATAATTGCGTAATTTTGTTGTTTTTCTGAGTGGTTGTTGTCAGCACGATGCTAAGCAATGCATATGGAATCCCGTTAACGCACATGTTTTTATACCCATTTTTGGGTAGTGAAATGCATGGAGCTTGCATAAAAGTCAACTTTGGCATGAAATGCATGCTTTTCTGTAGCAGTTGCGTTTTTGTGACTTGATTCCATACATGTACTACAATATTGAAAACCCAACTCTACTTGTTTGAAAAATACACTAAAATATTGGTGTCACGGGAACTTTTGTTGTTGAGTATATATCCTATAAACAATCAACGGATGGTAATCGATTGTTCAAAATTGGCATCATCATTGTCGTTGATCCCGGTCCCATATGACACACATTGAACACCAGATTTTCAAGATGAAGGTAATCTTTTATCATGGGCATCGTCGTCCCATGGAAGCTATCAGATCCCGAACTGTGGCCTAGGCATTGTTCTTCCCCTCTGCCTGCAGTGCTTGTGATA